AAAAAAAAAAAAAAAAAAAAGCAAGAAAGCAGTAAGTTGTGATGTTGATTTGCCATCGTTTTTAACATTCAAATATTTTCAACATACAATAGAAAGAAACTATTATACCACTTGATTATGCTGATTACAATAAGCTTTAAAGTACTACATTGCAAATGCTGACTGTGGTTAAAAATTCAGTTGTTAGCAAACTTTATGCAGCATCAACAGCCCCTTCTAAACCTATTTTAACTAGTATTTACAAAAGCAATAACACAGTATTAAATAAGTCTCATAATTCTGAACTTGAACAACTGTGGACAGCAGATTAAACAAGCCAACAAACATTTCTTCAAACTACTATGACTTCATCGACACTACAATAAGTTCGAACTCAATAGATATTTAATCTTAATTAAGATCTCAAAAAAAAAAAATTTACAGCAGACAAGGAATTGAAGAACTGAAGAAAGCATGTTGTAATGTGCTTATTGTCACAGGAAGGAATAAACTTTGTGCTCCACAAGAATTAGTGTTATCGGTGAATCACGATCATGGCATCATAATACGTAGAACTTATACATCCTCTGCAACAATCAGTAGTTTCTTAGTGATATCGACATAGCATCAAAAAACCTTTTTGTACTTTAACTGCTCTGTAGAATTTATACTAAGTAATACTGGCCATATCTGTTAGAACTATATTGAATGATTATATACATATACGTTCATATGACAGCATATAAAACTTCAGTAAACTATATTTCTAAACTTTCCTCTTTTATGCCAATGCTCTGCGCAATAACAGTTGACACATAACTGTTTTGGGAGAGCTGTGTAAATAAAAATCAAGAATACTGCCATTTACAACTGAACAAAATAGTTATTGCAGCTTTGGGACCGGAAGCACAAAAATGTATGAAAAATAAAAATAACAGTTTTAATCTTAACTAATTGTTCGTTCGACAAGAGTTTGGCTAAGAAGTTTCCAACTGCAAAGGACTAAAGTAAAAAAAAAAGGAGAAAACTTTATGTATACTTCTAGAAAAGATAAAAAGAAGTAGTTAGTTTTATTTTCAACAGATACACCCAAATGTGCAAAATATAGTTATTCCAGGAGTCACTTGCTGTACTAAACAGTAAAAGATTTCCAAAAGTTCCATTACGCATAAATATCATGTGAAGGTTTCAAATACGTTAGACCGATATATAATTCAAATTATTTTAGCGAACAAGCTTTGGAAAAACATGGTTGTTCGTCGATTCCAAAGTACCGGTTGCTGCCGCCTCTCTATCCACCTTTAAAAGTTTAGGCTCTGTTTTTCACTTACTGTCAAGAAAACTTTTTCTGAGCTGCAGAGGTAGTCTCCAAACTGAAAAAAATTTTAGACTCTGACGCACGCTTGAGAACCCTTTTGTTTTTGACACTTTACTTCCATTTTTTTGTAGAGCAAACTCGAGTGCTCTAAAACCATTTGGCATGGTTACAGGAGAATTTTGCTGACACTTCTAATTTTTGATTTTTATGTAGCCGTTGCCAACTTTTTTCGGCCCTTCACCCTCTCTCAAGACATTGTGTTGTCATTCCTTGTCGGATCATCTTTCCCTCTCTTACTCGCAGTGCTCTGCCTTTAATTTCACGCCAACAAAAGAACGATTTTAATGCTGGTACTCCTTCTAAATTTTGGTAAATACGATGAACATTGCTTTACTTTGAAAAACATCGTACCCTTCTTTAATTTTCAGCACTCTAGTAAAAATCTAGCCATAAAGAAACTCTTGCTCGGTTCCTGACCGCCAACTTATAGTATTTCCTACAAAGTAACCTCAATCCAAACATTTTTTAGCGAGAGTGACATTGCATGAAGTTTCTTCCGGCAGACCTGCCAACCGCTCGCAAACTACAACATTAGCCATTTCTAAGTAAAGCAACAATTATTTGGGAGTAACAAACAAGTCGTTCCCCACCGAGATGATCAGACGAATTGCATCCCAAATAAAAAAAAAACGAAAAGACGTCTTGTGAAATAAAATGCAAATTGAAGTGTTCTGCACAACCTAAGAACTCCCAGTACCTCAGTACAATGATAAGCGAAAAACTTCAATTTTTTTGAAAGAAACACTGAACCCTCCCATTAGGAACTCTTACAGCATTCCCTTTAGCAATCACCCACCACTCTCATACTATTTTCCATCTTCGGTTCCTTTATTCGTGCTTACAACATAAAAGTTTTTGAACTTTACGCTCAAAAACACCAAAAATGCCTTAATAATTAAGTTTCATTTCTTACAGTTTCTATTAGATCTGGAAACTTATGCAGAACTGAAGAAACGCTAAAGGCAATATTTGATGTGTACGTTTACTAATAGATCACATTTCAAATTTTATTCATTTAAGCAGCTATAAAGTGCCACATTGAAAAGTATTAAAAAACATTAATTAAAAAAATTTAAGAGATTAAAAATATATATATATATTTCAAAATACTTAGGTTTACGAGGTTTCAACGTCAAAACAACAAAATGACCAAAAAAGTCGCATTCCCGTTTAAAATTCAGGAAACCTTTTGGACCACTACAACGTACTCTCCACCCACAATCCAACACTCCGACGGCAGAAGCTTCTTTAAAATGTAACCCTAACAAATTTCGCTCTAAATGAATACACTGTCGCTCCGGCAGCCTAACTTTCCTGATTAAATTATTCATTTCTTAAAAACTCCAGAAAAACTCAATTTGTTTACGAGAAACTCCATGATACAAAAGAGCATACAGCTCGAAACCCAAAACCACAAAATAACAGTTCTAATTCTTAACAACTTATTCCATCAATGTATGTACAAAAATAAATACCATTATGAAAAGAGGAGAAAAATAAAAGAAAATCAGGAAAAGATACTGCACTAAACCTTACCGACTCACCCTGCTTCTTCCCTCTCTTCTTTAACTTCCTTTTTCACAATTCTTCGACTTGACTCTTCTGCAGTTTTCTTGCGTTGTTCAGCTTCTCGAGTCTTCGTTACCCAATCTGCTGCACTTATTTCATCATCAGAATCCGAATCTGCCAAACCTTTTACTTTCAATACTTTATCGTAAATTTTCCGTTTTTGTTTCATTACCTGTAAAAAGC